GACGAGGGGCAGTGCCTGGCCCAGCCTTGGGACCTGTGGCTCCAAAGGGCTTTCTGGACATGAAGCCTGGTCTGAGTCGTGAGGGACCCATGAGGGGCACTCAGGTAAAGACAGGAAAGGTGCTCCTCGGGGGAGGGCACAGCATGAATTAATAAAGGCACTGGAGAGGCAGATTGAAGCAATGAGCAGGTGCGGGGTTGAAGCTGACAGCCTGGGAGCCGATAGCAGTGCAGGCTTGTGCTGGGGCCCAGGGGCCTTGCACCAGATCAGCTTTACAGCCCCAAAGCCTCTTGCTGGCCCCAGATGTATAGGCGGCAGGCATCAGAGATGTGTGGCCCCCGTCTCAGCCACTGGGCCGGTCCCTCCCCAGTGACTACCCACCCCCACTCACCCCATGCCCCAGCCAGCTAGGGCCTGGCCCAGGGAGGGGCAGGCTTGGGGTGTTGGTGGAATATGTCAAAAATAGCCCAGTCTGGTGCACCTGAGGTTCAACTATCCCCCCACCCCAACAGAGACCATGGCTTGAAATCTCCCTCCAGAGACCTTCCCAGTCCTGAAAGCCCCCTTCTAGAGGAGACTCCTCTGGGTCAGGGTGGCCTGTGGGGTGGCACCCAGCCCAGGCTCGGGCAGGCTTCATAGCCGCCCTGCGGGGCTCCAGGTCCCACCAACCTGGCCACAGAGCCTCGATGTGCGTCCGGCTTCCTCTCTCTCCATCGTGGCCAGGCAGCTCGGACCACACCGTGTGCTCAGCCAGGAGAGCAGGATGCCCTTAAACGGGGCTTTCTGGTCCAGCATTCCCCCTCTGCCCTGCATGGCCATCCTTATCTTGACAATAATAATCCTGCTGTACCCCAGGCTTTCACTGGGAGCAGCTACAGATCCTCTTGGCAAGAAAGAAGCACGTTTCTTGTCCCCAGGGCTCTCTTTTGGCCCTGCGCTGGCAGTCAGCTCTGCTTCCCAGGCAGACCTCAGAGTGTGGCACTGCACCCCCGGCCCCAGCCCAGCCAGGAAAGGATGTGCAGCCTCCTTATGGCTGCTGGGAGATAGAGTCGGGGTCTCACAGCAAATGGAGCCACAGTGCCTGCTGGGGTCCCTCTCAAGCAAACCAGATGCTTCCACCCCCCAAACCCCTCACCCTGCTTCTCCGCCCCACCAACATGTGACACTCTCAACAGCCCAGCTAGTCAAAGAGGAAGATGACCCTTAGGAATGGGGGAGGCAGCTTGAGGCCCCCTGGATACGCATGGCAGACCCAGAGCAGGGACACACGGTCCTCAGGGTGGAAGACCCTCACCTGGGTCCCTCCCTCCCCTGCTCCTCAGCTCTGAGCATCTGGATGTCTACTATGCTGGGACTCACCCTCTCCCATCCCTGAGCCCCCCTCCCATGTCTACAGCACCCCACAGATGCCCCCTGGCACGCAGAGGAGGCTGCCCATCCCTGACCACAGAGAGCCACAGGCTGACATGTGGCCAGATGCCTGTGTGGTCCCACATGGGGCCATGGGGCCCCCCTGCCGTGGGGCAGGGCACGGGAGAATCTTCAGCCTGGCCACCTCCCGCCTCTCCCTTGTGTGTGTGTGTGGGGGGGTCCGCCTGGATGGGGGTGGCTGGCGTTGGCAGGGATGCAGCGATCAGCTTGGCCACGGCTGCCCAACCAGACTCAAGACAGACCTGCAGGCGCGTGTGTTTTGATCCAAGGCTGCACTGGAATATTTGAGTCCTGCCGACGGATGTGATATAAAAACAGCCGGCTGCCAGGACCGCTTCCTCGCCAGCAAGTGCCGCGGCAACGTGTTCTCTCCCGCCCCTCAGCCCCCACCCCCGGAGCCGGGGGCCGAACGCAGAGAGAGGAGCTGCTTTTCTCAAGTATTGATTCTGCCGGCTCCGAGTAATTTTTTTTTTTAATTCCATACTGAGCGGTAATGGATTATTTGGATTATTCCTTTTTCCCCTTTTCTACAAGCTCAGCAATTGAATTAAAATTCAAGAATTAATTTAAACAAATGTATGTCTCTGTATGTCTCCTAAGAACCGCATCAGCGCTGGGCTGGGGCTGGGTACAGCTTTCGGGCCAGTCCCCCCACTCAGGGCCTGGCGCTCCTTGATCTTTTTGCGGATGCTTTTTTATTCTGTCTGAGATCTCCTGAGAGCCCAAGGGGAAGCGTTGGGCAGAAAGGAGGCTGTGTGACATGCTTCTCCAGAGGCGAGGCCCACGGAACACCCGTGGTCAGAGGACGCTGGAGCCGGGCACTCAGGCCTGGGCTGTGGAGCTGGATGTTTCTAGTTCCTGGCATGACCCACACCCTCACACCTGTGGGTCCCGGGGCTCAGTGCCCTCAGCCGCAGAATGGGGTTGACAATGAGCCTGGCCCCCTGGAGTAGACGTGGAGATGCCCATACAAGAGGAGAGCCACTGTGTGAAGCAACAGGGCGCAGCGGCCTGACCAGAGGTCTGGGCCCCGACTCCCCGCGGTACTGAGCTGCCCCGCGAAGATGGTTTCCGGGCCGTGTCAGGAGCGGCTGGTGCTCACGGGCACCCTCAGGGAGTGAGCAGCATCCACCGAGATTCCGAGTGAGCCGGCTGGCCCATGTCCCTGCGGCAGGCCAGGGTGAGAAGCCAGGTTCCGGCTCTTGTTTATGCAGCTGAAAAGGCGGCAATCACCATCAAGTGGTGAACATCTGCTTGCTGAATGGGGTATTAAGCACCAGGCGACAGCGGCCCAGCGACAGCCCAGGAAGGTGCAATTCTCGCAATTAGGGAGCAAGCGGAGCAGGCTGCGCTGACATTCTTCCGTGGGCCGCGTGCCACACTGCATGCTCCTGTGGTAGACTTGGAGTGCATCCCCCAGAAGTTCTGTGTGGGGGTGTCGTTACCCCACTGCACCGAGGGGGCCCTGCAGCTCAGTGGGAACACCAGTGCCAGCCATGCCATTTCCAAGGGAAGGTCCCCTCTCTTGGAGGCCCCCCGATTCAGCTGGCAGGTGGGAGCACAGATCGGCCGGCCCAGCAGGGCCTGAGCTTCCAACAACCCCCACCCACACACACGCTTCACAGAAGGGGTGCTGAAGCCCCGAGAGGGCAGGGGTTTGTCCGAGCTAGCTCAGCAATCCTGCAACAGAGCTGGGCCTCTGACATGGACACTCTGTCGGGCCCCTGCCTGGGGGTGGGTCAGGGTTGCCCCACTCAGCCTTGACAAGCCACACCCCCCACCCGCTGCCATGCTCTCTGTCTCAGCTTCCCCACCTGCCCCTGAGCCTAAACGCAGCAGGTGTGAGTGCTCTCACATGAGTGAGTGTGGGCATGGTCCTGGGGAGTTCTTCCAGGCGGGGTGTCCTGAGTCCCTATAACTTGGGGTGATGGGTGGGGCTGCTGCAGAGAAGGGTTCTCCAAGGGTCGGCCCCCACAAATTAGACCAGGGAAGGGGCCTGCCCTGGCTTCTGATTCAGGGCACAGGGACTTGGGAATGAAAGGCAGGACCAGGGGCTGAGCCATCCTGAGGACACACCCATGGCCACCCCAGGACAAGGACAGATGGGTGGTGAGCCAAGAGAGAGCTGGGCTGGGCAGGCAGGCTGGCCAGGGAAGGGTACATACCGAAGGCCAAGGGGAGCCCGAGAGGGAGTGACAGGAGGATAGGACAGTCACAGCAGGGGTCTGCAGAGTGAGCCCCCACCAGCCAGGACTCTCCAGGCTCTGTGATGGGGGCTGGAAGAGTCCGGGGGGAGGACCGCTCTACTTAATGCTGGCTTCTTCTAGCCACCCCTCCTCAAGCCTCAGTGTGGAGTGAGTACAGACACCCTGGGGTGTGGGGGAGGGCTGAGCAAGGGGGCAAGGCTTGGCTGCATGGGTGTGGGAGAGGTTAGGGAGGACAGGCAGGGCCCAGCCCCCTCCCCAGCCAATGCAGGTGGTCCCATTGTTTTTGAACCTCAATGTTCAAAAACAGCAAGAAATTGGTAAAGGTCTCTGGCATGGAATAAGGATCTGGGGACTTGGCCTGCACCCCACCCCATCTGTGGGTGAGGCCCCCTCTGGGCAGCTCTCACCCACCCTACCTACTCCAAAGTGGCAAGCCCACAAAGTGTTCAGAGGTGGGGGGACTGACTGACCCAAAGCAGGCAGAATTGGAGCCTTGGATCACAAGAGCCCTGCCTCCCTCCACTGGGGAGGGGAATCCCAGGCCAGGAACGGGATGGGGGCAGGGATGGGAATGAAGGAGGACAGACCCTTAGGATCTAAACTGGGACCTAATGTGGGGGGTTCTTGGTTTCTTTTGCCTCTCAGCCAATTACAGCCCAAGAATTTTACCTTTCGTATCAAAAAAAAAAAAAAAAAAAGACCCCCCTCCTTCTCCTGCAAGAGGGGATGTTGGAATCTGGAGACCTGGAGTGTCCTCCTTCCACCCCTGGGGGGAGGTTAGACAGGGTAAGGCCTGGAAGGTACCCCCCACCCCCACTGACGGCTTAAGGACTGACAGCTGCACCCAACATTTAGATTACAAAGGTTTATTTAGAAAATAGTTTGGTTGTTTTGGCTGTCATTTTTGGCAAACATTTAAATACTTTCAATAACCAAAGATTGTCAGTGCCTCTTTCCTCCCCCAAGACAGCCGCCCCCACTAGGTCCTGGGGAAGTCAGCCCTTGCTCAGAGATGGATCTGGGTAGTGGTGTGTGTTGGGGGGGGCTCCTTTCTGTCCCGTTTGGGAGGTTGCATTCACTTCTGCTGTCTAAGACCCTGACCTCACAGCCGCACCTCTGCAGGGGTCCCCAGAGCCGGATCCGGGCCCGAAGGCCCAGAAGCAGCCCTTTGCTGAGATGGGAAGGCAGAGGGGTCCCCCCCTCTCTCCTCCCCGCCCTCCCCGGGGGCCCTGCTGTCTCTCAGCCCACACTCCTGCCCTGCCGTACCCTCCCCTCCGCCCTGGAGGCCAAGCCATCCCTGGGTCTCTGGGGAAGCTGCCCCTGCTTTCTCCTGGGGGGCCAAGCCTTCCCACGTCGCTGCCTGGAGCTGTCCAGGGTCTGCGCGGGGCCGGGCGCGCAGCTCACTGCCTGAAGCCCCTTCTCCTCCGTCGGAAGAGGATGTGCTTAAAGGAACGCCGGAAGTCCTGGTTAAAGACGGTGTAGATGACCGGGTTGAGCGAGCTGTTGCAGTAGCCGATCCAGAAAAAGAACTTGAAGAGCGGGTCGGGCACCTGGCAGGCCTCGCGGCAGATGCCGTACAGGCTGTAGCTGAAGAAGAAGGGGAACCAGCAGAGCACGAACACGCCCATGACCACCGCCAGCACGAAGGTGAAGCGCTTCTCGCGCGCCTGGGCCACCTTGCGGCGGCACACGCTGCTGCGCGCCCGGCGGCGGCGCGACAAAAAGAACTCGACGGAGCGCGAGCTGGCGCGCGACAGGCGCCCGCCGGGGCCCGGGGACCTCGCGGCAGCCAGAGCGCCCGAATCGGTCGTCCCTGGCCCCGGCCCGGGCCCCGGCACTTCGGCGCCGCCCGCGCCGCCCGCGCCCCCCTCCCCGCCCGCGCGCCGCCGCCCGCCCCGCCGCAGCGCACCCCGGCGTCGCCGCCGCTCAGCCGCAGCGCTGCTGTCCTCCGGGTCCACGTCGGCGCACGGGCGGCGCGGGGGCGCGCAGTGCCCATTCTCGCCCGCGCCCGCTGCCGCACCCAGCCCATTCTCTGTGGTTGGGGACGCACCGTCGGGGCCCGCGGGCGCGCGCTTCTCGCTGAGCGTGCGCGTACGCAGCTTGGCCACGCGGTAGATGCGCGCGTAGACCAGGCCCATGATGAGACAGGGCGCGAAGAAGGAGCCGACGCAGGAGGACAGGATGTACCACGTCTCGTCGTTGAGGCCGCACTGCGGGTAGGCGGCACTGTCGGGCTGGCGGTAGAGCGAGACGAGCGGTGGGAAGGAGATGACAGCCGAGATGAGCCACACGGCCACGATGGTCGCCTTGACGCGGCGCGGTGTGCGCTTCAGGTTGTACTCGACGGCCTGCGTCACCGACCAGTAGCGGTCCAGGCTGATGGCGCACAGATGCACGATGGACGAGGTGCAGAAGAGCACGTCGAGCGCCAGGTACACGCCACACCACACCTGCCCGAAGTACCAGTAGGCCATGAGCTCGTTGGCCAGCGAGAAAGGCATGACCAGCGTGGCCACCAGGATGTCGGCCGAGGCCAGCGACACCAGGAAGAGGTTCTGCGGCGCACGCAGCGCCCGGCTGGTCAGCACGGCGATCACCACCAGCACGTTGCCCACCACGGTGAAGACGATGAGGAAGCCCACCACTGCAGCCAGCCCCGCCACGGCGCCCGCCGAGTACTGGCCCCCAGGCGGCCCCCAGGCGGCCCCCGGCGCAGCGCCCGAGGCGTTGGCGGCCCCGCCGCTGCCCCCCTCGCCGGCGCCGCTCGCGTTGGGGCCCGCCGCCGCCGCCGCCGCCAGCGCCGCCGCCAGCGCCGGGGACGCCATGGTCCTCCCGCGAGCTACGCGGTCCCGCCTGGAGCCGGGGCGCAGCCGCGGCAGCTCGGGCGCCCCCCAGCCCGGGTCGGCGCCCGCATCGCCGCCTGCTGCTGGGGCGCGCCCGCCGGGGACCGCGGCGCCCCGCAGCCGGCCCTCGGCCGTGGTGGCTCGGCGGGCGAGCGGCGCGCCGGAGAGCGTGGCTGCCGGGCTCCCCGCAGCTGCCGCGCGCGTAAGTGCTGAGCAGGAGGCTCCCGGAGCGAGCGGCGACGCGGCGGCGGGGGGAGGGGGGCAGGTCCCGGGGTCCTCGCGCGGCCCCGCCCTCGGCCCCGCTCACGGGGAGCGCCCCGGCCGCGAGCCCACGGTGATGCGGCGCCCGAGCGGGCGTGCCCGAGCGGCCCCGTGGCCCCGGAGCCCGGCCGGGGCGCAGGCTGCAGGCGGCGGCCCGGGCGCTCCGCCTCCCATCCGGCCGGCTAGGGCTGGGCGCACCGGGGCGCGGGCCGCCGCTCCTCCGGGCCCCAGCGCCCGCGCGCAGCCTCGGGCTCCAACTTTACTTTCCCGGGCAGGGCGCCGGCGCCGCCGCGCGTCCTCCTCCCGCTGCTCCGGGCGCGGGCGCCCCCCGTTGTCCGCGTTCGGCCGTGCGGGCTCCGCCTCGCCTGCCTCGCTCGCCTTAGCTGCGCCGTCGCCGCCGCCGCCGCCGCCGCCGCCTCCTTCGCCGCCGCCGCCGCCGCCGTGCGCTCGGCGCGAGTGCAGCCGCCCGGCCTCGGCTTCCAACTTGGGTAGAGTTGCGCAGCGGGGCGGGGCGCGGGCGGGAGGGGGTGGCCTGGCGGGCAGGCCAGCGCGGCCGGCCCGGGGGGGAGCGGGCCCGGGAGCCGGAGCCCGCGGCCGCCTCGGCGAACCTGCCCGCGCGGCGCCGGGGAGGAGTCCGGGGCGGTGGCGCGAGGCGCGCGCGCACGGCGAGGGCGCCCCCTCCAGGGCCGACTGCAGTCTGCGGGACGGAGTTGAGTGCCGGCTGGCCTGGGCGGTGAGTTCCAGAAACCTGCTCTTTCTAAGACAAGAGCCTCCTAGCCTCCCCCGGGCACACGCGCACGCACACGCGGGCGCGCACACTCGCGCGCAGCACCGGTCGGCTCGGGGTCCGCGGCCTGATTGGAGAGCCAGCGACTCGCAGCCTGGAGGAGGACGCGACGCTGTCTGGGTGCGCGGAGGTCCTGCGGAGTGCCGATCTCTGGTTCTGGTCGGTGTTACAGGGCAGAACCGCGTCCCTGCCCCCAGCCTCAGCTCCCTTCTCTGCCCACTTCCAAACGCTGCTGGAGCATGAATCATGACGGCGGTGCCAGTGGAAGCCCTGGGCAGGCTCCCAGGCTCCGCATCCATGTTGGCATCATTGAAGTTTAATTCTCATGCTCCGGGGCCCTGCTTTTAAAGGGTGGAGGGGATGTTCAAAATCATCGCCTCTGACAAACACCCAGAATGAATTTCCCGGATGACTGGCGGGTTTGCGTGGGTGCCTCATTCCTGCGGGCTTGGGGCAAGCTGTTGGGGTATCTCCCCTACCCCGGCTTACCCCTGCCTTATGTCTCTGTGCGTTCATTCCACGAACGTGCATGGTCGTTCCCTGTCGTGTGCCTGTGCTGGTTCCCACCTCCAGGCGGCTCGAGGTCCGTGGGAGACAGACCCTGGGGATGAAGTTGGAGTTCCCAGGCCTGGCATTTCTTGCTAGGAGGAGGGGAGGGCCTTTCCTCCCAGCAGCCCAGAAAAGCACGCAGGCAGGCCAGTAGCTCTCCCTGCAGCCTCAGATGAGAGGGTAGGGGTCATTCCTGTGGCTGCGGGCCACGGGGTGGGATACCTTTGGGCTCTAGGAAGGTGTCACAGGGAAGGATTGGAGCATCCCCTTAGTGATGCCTAGAAATGTGCGTGGCTTTGGGGCTGCTTCTCTTTTCTCTGAGGCTCAGAGGGTCTTATGGAGGAGAGCGCTAGGGTCTTAGCAGAGATGCCCACTGGGAGCCCCACCATCCTTGTTAGCCTCCTTACACGGAGGAGGGGGAGTCAGGCCAGGGCGAGGCCAGTGATCAGAGATTCTGGAGGGTGGGACTGCCCAAGGAGGGCCAAACCTACCTTGCCAATCCTGGGCTTTTATGCACTTTTTGGCAGCAAAGCCATGACTGCCTGTGAGAGGCGCGGGGCCCAGAGAAGGTAGAAAGCCAGCATCCCTGTGAAAGGGCCCCCTGGTCTGGAAGGCCTGGAGTGTGCTTGCAGGGAAGACCCGCACACATTCGCATCCTCCGCAGTGGGCATGCACAGGCCCTTGTCTGTAACAGGCCTTTCGCCGTCTGTGACAGTTGGTACCACACACTGCCATGCTGCAGTGAAGGCCCTCAGTGCCCTGGAGCTCTTCCCCCAGGCTGGGAGTGGAGTTGTCAAGGAAGGCTTCCTGGAGGAGGTGACCTCTGAGCTGCATTTGGCAACTAGAGGCAAGTTATTAGGAAGTGAGAAGCCCCTAACAATTGTGCTCCGCGGGGTAGCGGGAGGGGCTTTGTCCTGGAGACACAGAGAACCAGCGGAGGATCCCAAAAAGGAAATGGCAGATGTAGGTTTGGGGGAGCTCCCTCCCCCAGCAGCTGACCAGCCACTTGGACCTCCTCCAGACCCTGGGGGTTCTCATCTTGTGAGGAGCACTTTGGGGGATGCCTGGGGGTGTTGGGACATCCAGGGTCCTGGCTGCCCTGGACATCTCACATGTTCATACTCAAGGGCAGCAGAACACGAAGAATTTGGAGGAAAAAGGACACAGAGCACCTGGGGCCCGAAGCAGACAGGACTTCCCACTGCCCAGGAAGCGGCTCGCCAGGCCAGGCTGGGGACATCCGGAGTGCTTGACCGGCCCAGTGACTCAGGCCCCCGGGGACACTTGGCTGGCCTTTTGACCTCAGGACCGCCAGCAGCATCTCCCTGGCATAACCCAGGAGGGAGGCAGGAGGAAGCGCCTCTCCTGGGGGTCAGGGCCCAGAGGGGGAGAGGAGAGCTGGATCCCCTACAGAGTCCTCGGGCTGGAGGAGCCCTTGGCTGGGCTTCAGGGCTGCACCGAACGCAGACCTGCCTGTGTGCGAGGGAGGCCCCAGGGACTGCAGCTGTTCAACAAGGAGCTGGAGAGCCCTCTTACCCCAGACACTGAAACTGAGGCTTGACGAACCGCTCCTGATTATCCTGTAACAAGCAAAACAGCATGTGCCTGGAAGGCTGCCTGTCCCCGTGAGTTGCTGGTGGGCAGGCCTGGGCTTGGCAGGACCTGGAGGGATGACAGGGAGGGTGTTGTAAGGATTCAGGCTGCACTGGTAGAGGGGGTAGGGGTGAGGGCGCTGGGGAGAGCTGTGGGACCTCTTAGAAGGAAAATCACATAGCTGTGAAGCGCCTTGGGGCTGCCAAGGCCGAGTTGCCTTTCCTCCCACCCATGATGAGTGGGGCCAAGAGGGAGGGTTGGTCCAGCCAGGACCACACAGCCACGGGACACCGGGTCCTGGGCCCTGGGTGCTGTGAGAGGGAATCCAGGTGCACACCTGGGGTGCAGTGCCCTTGTGTTCCACGAGCAGCGCCTATCCTGATGGTTGGGAGCTTGTCTCCCTGAACCACTTCCCTGCACACGGGCATGCGTGCACACACACAGACGTGCACATGTATGCAGGTGCACATGCACAAGCATACTCGTGTGTGTGTGTGTACACGCACATTCACGTGCACACATTTCTGTGCATGCCTATGCTGGCGTAACCACGTAGGCTTGGACACACATCCATGCATGCTGCATACACATGCACACACAGCCATGTAAATTACACAGGACATTCGTGTGCACACACACACACGTGCATGTTTCCATAAGCAGGCAGTCATGAACACACTCGTGTATTCACATGCACACACACATATTCATGCACACACGTATACTATGTGCACACATACCCACGCACATGTTCGTAGACACATATCCGCACACCTGCATAAAATGTACGTGTTCTATACATGCATGTGCATAAGTGTGTGCGTATATGTGTATCCGTGCACACACACGTGCACACACATGCACTCACATGTCTGCACACAGCCACTCACACACACACGTGCATTCGCGTGGATCAAAACACACGCATGTGCACATGCTCACCCCCACCTAGAGAGGCACATGCGCACAGGTGCCTGTGGCCTTGCTCCCCCTCCCAGGCTGTAGGGAGGATGTATTTGGCCACCCCATTGTGGGCAGCTCTTTCCGGTTTCAGGCTGGGTTCTGCCACCTCAGCCTGCTCACCTCCACCCGGCTCGTTCAGATGGCTCTTCAGCCCACTCCCTCCAGGCTGCAAGCCCATTCATCACTGCCTGCCGTGGACTCTGGGCCTTGGCCATGTTCTTCTCCAGGCTGGCAAACCTTTGCCTCATCTATCCCCAGGGCTCTTCTCTTCCTTCAGAATGTGTTGCATGAGATTCCCCAGCAGGCTTCCTTGATCTCCCAGGCCAGATCAGGAGCCCCTTCCTTTGCTGGCCTCCTGTGTGCCCTCTAGGGGCAGGCCCTCCCCAGACCCCGTCCCTCTCCACTGTGGGCTCCTAAGAGCAAGCCATGTCTCTCGCACTGCCTGGTGCAGGGCCCAGCTATGGCTCACAGTAGGGCCTCAGTCAAAGCTGGCGCAGGGGTGGGGGGTGAAGGGTGAGGTCAGGAGTCCCGCAAAGGTCCTGATGTCTTCCATGCTCCTTGGCCAGGCTGGACACCTGTGGTGTGCTTGGCGCAGGCGATGCCTGGCAGAGCACAGGGATGCCTCGCCTGGGAGCTGATGCCTCGCCCAGGAGCTGCCAGTGTCAGACCCCTGAGCTCCCCCACCCACTGACCCCTTTCTGCCTCCATTCTGTGGAGGTTGCCGATGCTGGATGTGGACATAAGCTCCTGCTCATCACTTCCTTGCTGTCTGGCAGCGTGAGAACCCCCTGCCTCCCTGGGCCTCAATTTTCCCATCTGTAAGGTGGGGGCATTGGACTGGCTAGTTCTAAGGTCCATGCC